CCCAGTGGTGGTGGGCTCACGCTGCACCCCGCAGACAGGCGGCTCCTGGCACGGCCTCTGGCTTTGCTTTACCGGCAGCACCGCGGATGTTGAACAGGATAGCTCACACGGAGAGTCTGGCTGCCTGCAGGGAGCTGCCGCGGCTCGGGCACTTCCTGAGGGGGCCTCTGGACACCGATAAAGAAGGATACGCAGCTTGTAGTTCCTCAAGAGGGGGGAACAAACTCAACAGCCCTCTATCAAACCATGCCATTTATTTGAAGGTGTAGAATTGAAAAATATATGTAAGCAGCGAACATGGGGCGGTTAAAAAATGTAAATGCTTCCACTGACCATAGTAACGACCCAGTATTGTCTGTGCCTCTGAAGTGCTGTTTCGCGTACCAGACCCTGCACTGGCGCTCCTGAGCGGTGTCTGCAGAGCGTCCTTCTCACTGGACCAAGTGCTGCAAACGCAGCGGATGGACAGCACGGCTTTTTGATAGCTGTGAGGTGGCTGGCTTGCTGTTCGTGAGGGCCCAGATCCTTGCCCTTAAAGGCTCATTTCCTGCAGTTCACTGAAACAGCAGGAGAACTGCAGCACAGGCACTCTCTTCACTTTCTTCTTAAAGCAAGTATTTGTATTTAAGATAAGAAATTACTTTAGACTCATACCGCTTTCTCTGTCTCTCTCCTATCCTTCATACAGCGCTGCAGGCATTTCTCATGGAGACATGGATGAAAATTTCTGGTGAACAGTAGCTACTGATTTTTTTTAATTATTATTTTTACAATAAAAATGTTTTTAAAGCAACTTTCTGTCTGTAAAAAGTTGTAATAAATGTTAGGCACCAAGACTGCAGGCTGTGTAATTATAAATTAATAAATCTGATTTGGAGCTGTCTCATCCCTTCAGTCACTGACCTCAAAGCGTGAGCCCTGGCGCGTTGTTAATCCAGGAGGCGGCCCTGGAGCGGGGCGAGAGTGAGGACAAAGCAGCATCAAGGAAGGAGCTGGTGAGTTCAGGTAGAGCGGCTTCGGCGCTGAGTTCCTATGAAATTCAACAGCTTTCCAGTGGGTGCTCCCTGCTCCCAGGCCCTCCCTCTCCAGCTGTTACAAACTGTGGGTCAGTGTGCGGGTAGCGAGAACGCTCCATCGTCACCTGTGTTTGCGGGTGTCCTGTGGGGACCCCGGCTGGCGGTTCCGAGAGCCCCACGCTGAGCCCCACCCTTTCACTGCTAGGGCAGGGGACGCGTGTGCTGTTAGAGGCAGCCTCATCTCGCGTGTCGCCTTGTTGGTGTTAACCAGCCCAGAACGGAGAGATTCAACTGAAAATGCTATTTAACTCATCTTTATTTAAGCTTTGTATCTTGTAGGTAGATCATAGGCAAGATCATTAAACTTTATTTACAGTATAAAGTACAGTATTTATCAGTGAAGTAATTTTGGGTGGCAGCCTATGTTACAACGTGCACCGCGTTGGAGGCTGCTCGTCTTGACCTAACTGCAAGAACACGAAGCCAAGTTTGACAGAATTTAGGGGCAAAAACCAAAGCTCTGTCTTGAATTCCCTGGATGCTGAAACGCGACATAGCAAAAAAGTGAGAGAAACACACTTGCTTTTAGAAATGAAGATAAAAAGAGATTTTACATCCTGCTGGCTTTGGTGTTGCAGCAGTGCTGGCGCTTACAGAATTTCTGCGCAGCCCCTCCTGCCTGCTGTCTGGACCTGGAGGGGCAGCGCCTGTTGCACTGGGCTGGCCCAGAACAACCCCTGCCCTGTCACGCTGGCGAGACTGGGGGACTCGCCGTGCGGACGCGTCTGCCTGCCGGGCATCCCTGCCTGGGACGGGAGCAAACGGAAGCGACGGAAGAAAGCGTGTTTCGCTCGGGCAGAGACAGAAAGCAGGGAGATGCGCTCTGAGAGCAGCTGTAGGTCTGTTTGCAAATAAGCGTACACAAGTGTTGGCTATTATCTACAAATATTTATTTTAACACTTGGATGTAACTACAGGAAGCCCTTGGCACTGATAGAAAATATTGATTCACTGTTAGGTTACAAAAATTTATACATAGCAAAATTTAATGCTCTTTACATAAAAATATTAGACTACCTAAACAAAACTTCAAAAACTCCCAGTAATAGCTACACTGAATTAGAAAAGAATTAGGCTTTAAGACACTGCCTCCATTATTACCCTTATGCACACACTGGGCTAGAACAGCACCTGCATTGCCGTAGAAATGTCTCCTTCATGCAACAGGTAAGAACATACACTAGGCTAGGTGGTCATAGTTGCTCTACATTGATCAACTTTGCCCCTTTTCTCAAACTGTCAAATTAGACTTCAATATTTAACAAAAAGAAATTATATCTGAAGTTAACACCCCCCAAAATGCCTTTTCTCTTAATACGGACTTGAAGAAATTTGTGCTTCCTTCGACTTATATTCAGCAAACAGTCAAAACTATCAAACCACACGTCAGCTTAACATGGGTATGACTTGAATATTTAAATTTTTTCAAATGACTGATGTATTTTACTTTTCCCCCAACATTTATATATATATATATCATATAGAACAAACACCAAATATACCATCACTAATACTCAAGATATCACTGAATGCTTCTGAAAAAAACATTACCTGGAAGGCAGACTTCTATGGGAAATGACTTTAAAATGGCACCAGTTCGTTCGTTCGTTTTTTCTGAACACCACGTTTTCTTAATGTGCTAATTAGTTTGTAAAAAGGAAAACACGTAAGCACTGACTATAAATTTGCTAAGCACCAAGATAGAGAAAGGTGGACATCCTGTATTCTGTTTTATGGCTGTAATTTTTATTGTTTGTGTAAAACTCTGCAAACTTTCTCATCCGCTCATTTGGAATAGTCAGCTCAGTGTCATTTTAATAAGGTAACACTTTTCACTTAAAATGTAGGATAATGGTCTCCTGCCACTATATAAATGCTAAGACATTTATAGAAAATAAACATTAAGGCAAAGCTGACATTTATTTTCAAAGAAAGAAGGGGATCATTATCCAGATCCGGGGATCTACATTCCATTAAAGAGTTAGTTAATAAAAAGATTAAAACTTGGGGCACCTGCTCGACTCTCAGGCAAGCACGGGCACAGTGCGGCACGGAAGCAGAGCGCTGTTCCCGGGGACGGCGCGGCCAGAGACTGCCCTGTTGCAACGCGGGAACTGCTGTGACGGCGCCATCGCGCAAGCGCGAGGGGGTCAGCACCCTCAGCTGCCCACCGTTCCACGTGAGTACGAGCCGAGGCAGCAAGCCCACGCCGCACGTGTGCCGCTGCCTATGGCCTGGACAGAGATCTGCTGCCCGCTGGCTTTGGGCGCCCGCCAGAGATCTGCTGCCCGCTGGCTTGGAGCGCCTGCCACCGCTCTGAGCAGGACGTCATGCTGCAGAACACGTCAAACACTAAATACCAAACGTCTCGAAGAAGAATAGAATAATTTGGTCACTTGTTGTGAAGTGTTGCCTTTTAAAATGCCTGGAATAAAACCTCCATTCTCTGTGTGAAAGGATGGAAGATGACCCATAAAAAAAATCCCTACAATGTGTTCCAGGAGCTGGACTGCGAAGCTTTTGCACTTCTCTCTAATTTTGTTTGGTAGACACACATCTGTACTGCAGAGCAGCTATTTGTTGATTTGTCAGAGCTACAGAATTCTTCTGCTGAATTACTGTGGCAAACATTTATGTGTAAGAATTGAGTTGCTCTTTTGACCGAGACTGGATATCCTGAAGCTCCTGCTCTTCTTTTGCTTTGATATCCTGGTAGGCCTGCATTTTGCTGGCATCCTTTAAGTAGGCCCAGTTAGAAGACAGTATCATGAGGAAGTGGATCTGGAAGAGAAGGGTGAGCATGATGGCTAGTGAGCATGTCAAGAGGCAAAGCAAGCTGCTAGTTAGATTAATAGACGCTCTTTAAAATAACGACCAAAAAAAAAAATAGTTACTCTACATTAATAAGCATTCCGTTATTCAAACAAGCACGGAGGCTGTTCTCAAAGATCTCTAGAATCCGCATGCCAGTACTTCAGCTGGTTATTCACAATGTAGAGAAGGTTAGTGTAACAGTAGTACAGTGAGCTACAGAGTTGTACGGATCAACTGAAACGCAGAATGGGAGGAAGCAGGAAAGAAGTTCTGGTCGTGGCAATTTATGTGATCGGTAAACTACGAGGTGCTCAGCAGAACGGCCTTCTGAGGCGGTGGGGTTCGTGCGTATCCAAGCCCAGATCCTGGTAAGTCTTTTCCCCCAACAAGCAGATGAGAATTCCACCCTCCCCCCTGGAAAAAGCCTGAAACTGTAAACGGTTTTATTTACGTGAACAAGGCTACATTAACACATCGAAAAATTAAACAACAAAACACGAGTCCAAAACTAAGCAAAAGCATGCAATCTCTGGGTTAAGAAGTCTTAATCGCATATTTTTATAACTACATTTTAAACTTCCGTTGTCCAACCTCAGGTTTTATATTGTGTATAGCAAATGGTTCTTTTATTATTATTATGTGGATTTTTTCCAGTTTGTGTATTCATCTCTTCCCAACTTCTTTTCACCATACTTCATGCAAAAAATCTACATCAAAATGCACCGATTCCCTTCTCCTCTTTGTTAATCCCAACAGTGTCAGAAGGTCTCCGTGACCCATGCATGGTTTTGCTTCGCGTGCAGTCACACCAACAGGTTTGAGATCTGGCTACTGAGGAATCAGTTACCGAAGTGCGAGCCGTACAAGAACAGAAGCTACTGATACGCTGTTTCTTACTAGTTCAGGGTCCGAAAGAAAGAATGTGATTGTTTTACGCAGAGCTAACGCAAGGAAGTATTTCCTTCCAGAGAGACGGTGATTTGGCAATTACTTGGAAATGAAGTAAAAGAAAATCATCAACTTTACTACCTGTGCACTGGAAGTAAAAGCCACCTAATTCACAATACCCGGGCTTCTGATTTCTGCCAGAAGAGACTGGCACTACTTCGCTGTTCCTTTTCTTTTGTTCCATAGATATTTCGTATGCTCGGGGGGTTGTATCTGGTGTTCAGGATGAAGAATAAAGGAGCAATTCCAACCCTGAACTGTTCCAGTGTTTGTTTTAGAGACGACTGTTAGAAAGCAACTGGAGACTTGAATGGAAACATCCCACCTTTAGAAGGATGATTTATAAACACCCTTACAGTAACTGAATCCTCTCGACAGGAAAAAATAGCCAGATCTCATCCACATCACAGTTCATATACAAGAAGTCATTTTATTAATCTGATAAGCTAAATGATGCTTACTGAAGCTATTTACAATTACTGTAACAAAATTCAGAGAGCTAGACTTTTAGCCTAGGGTGTCAGTGGTATTTCAAGCTACGCAATGCAGCTCTTTACTGGGCTTATACAATTTAGAATTTAGTGCAGCAATCTTCCCGACTCTTAAACTTCAAAACAGCATAGTTATATGTAGTAGCCATCATGTAGATCAGCTGGTGGAAGAGAACAAAACACAGGAGAGTAAGATACAACAAGGTGACGGCTCAAGCCCACACGGGCAACTGTCGACACTTTTACAACAGACGTTACTCTGAGCTTCTTCCAGGGTGCAGAGGCAAGATCACTAACTACCTGGCCACCTATCCGGGGAGGACAACCGACGCGCAGACCTCAGGCTACCGCGTCAACCAGCCGCGAGCGCTGCGCCGGGGTTTGGCTGATGGGAGGCTAGGAGCTGGCAGCCAGAGGAAGCGCTCGGCGCAGGGGCGAGTCATCTGGTTAACGTCCCCTCCGCCAGCTGCTGCCTGGACCTGGCACTGCGGAGCTGGGCTGGCCAGGGCGCCTGGGGCCAGGCAAAACAGCCCAAGAGGTTACAAGCGACTCATCAAATGAACTACAAAAATGAAAGGAAACGGTGGACGTAAGAGCAGAAACAGCGAGGAGAAACAGGATTTTCAAAGGACGTGCAAAGAATTTTGTTCTTAAGGTGGGGGAGCTGGGTTAAGATGACTTCTTAAAGCAAACATTTGGGACCCGCTGGCTCGTAACGACCAAACCATGGCAGCAAACAATGGCGATTACAGCTCGCCCTCCTTAATGCCTAGCATTGCTGGTTTTAGGATACACAAAATTTGATCGTAAAGCATCTTAAGCTTGAAAGGAACATGTTACACAAAAAAACAACAAAAAATGCTACCCACCAATGCTATGACAGTAGCACCAGCTCCAGCACAAGCCACAATGAAGAGGTGGTAAGACATGTAGAACTAGAGAAAAAACAGGTTAAAAACACTGAAGTAATTGTGGATAGTATCAAATGCATTTCAGCTCTTCTAAGAAAATAAGGATAACAAAACCATCTTTGTAGCAAGGTATTCAAAGCTTTAGAAAATAAAAATGTTCTGAAATGATTTTCATTTTCTGGATGACCTAGTGCAGAATAATTTCAGCACTGTGTTTAAATGAATCTCTTCGTACTGTTAGTACTAGTTGTCTGCAAAAACTTACACCAAGTTATTTATTACACTGTGCCCAAGTGACCGGTAGGCAAAAGCTGCACACAGGTTACGTATCTGTACCTCATTGGTGTTGCAGATGTTCTCTAAAATCGGGCCACAGGCTTTGCCAGGTACGGCGTTCCATGGGATAATACCTGAAATACCACAGTAAAAGAAACCAGCAATTTAGCAACCAACCAACACATGCTTTCTGTCCCTCTCTTGTCTTCTCCGCCCACTTGCCAGTTGCGTTCCCGTTCCGGGCATCCGCGCATTGCCCAGCGCAGCTCTGAGCTGGCGGGAGGAATTACGACGACTCGCTCAAGTTGTGCCTTCTCCCCACGCCGAGGCTCGCTGCCAGGACGTGTTCTCACATGTGGTTCTCCCGTATGGCAGCCAAATGGCTGGGTGGGTTTTTGAGCTTCAGGTCTGGTCGCATGCTGCCTACTCCCCCACCCAGCATTTGGAAGGGATAATCTGCATCTCAGAGCTACTTGGCACCCTGTAGAATAGCACTTGCTAACTAGACTAAGTTCTGCTTAAACAAGTAACTACTGCAGAAGAACGTGAATGTGGAGCTAGAGGGAAGGACTACAGAAGGATTTTTTTTTTCTGTTGTTGTAGCTCCAGTAGGTAAAAAAGCATTAAGCGAACACTGCTACAAGAAAATTCAGTCTGCCGTACCTCACGTACTCCCAGTTACCTTTCTGACACGACTGAAAATCTGAAAAGTCAACAGATGTGGAAGGTTTAAAATAACCTGAACTTCTAGGCCCCCAACAGATGTAAAGCTTGAGCAAAAGCCGTCTGAAACAGGAGAAAACCAGTCTGTCTGCCCCATATGACTTGAGTTTCAAACTCAGCTGGTTGGAATTAGCAACTCTGTACGGGGCAGGTCATTGAAATTATGGCTTTCAAAAAGATTTTATAGGATTTACTTTAAAGCCAGCTTCTTCTCTGCAACTGCAATACACACTTGCAGCCTTTTAGCTGCCGTGTCCACTGCAGACGCGAGGCCGGCTCAGTGACACACAGCGCCTGCTAAGGAGCTGCTCTCTCCCAGCACTCCCCGAAACCCAGCGGATTTTACTGATCAGAGGAGCAGCACGGCCCCACGCGGCGCTCCTACAGCTGCAAAACAACCAGGGGCAGCGGAAAGGCGGAGGAGCGCGTCTTCTCCCCGCAGTCCCAGGCTTTGCTGCAGAAGAAAACGTCTTCCCAGCCTCTCGCTGTCAGTTGCTAAAATAGGATGCAAACGTTTAACTGATCTGGGACTTCTTGCTTTTAGAGTTAGCGTATCTTATCTTGTCCTACAGGACTTACAGCCTGGATAGGGACGCAAAAACAAACTTTCTTTTTCAACTCCGAATCCGTTTTCTCACCTCTAAATGACTTAGTCCGAAGAAAGAAACATTCCTAGAAAATGCTAGCTAAAACGAAGCCAAAATGTAACGGTGACAAAAGCTCTTCTGTACAAGGGAAGCTGAAAAGATTGACTTCAGGAAAAATTCACTGTAAGGACTGAACTATTTGAAAAGCCTGACCCTCTTTTAAGCTATTGCCCCACTCCTCTGCTGCCTGCGCTCCCCTTGGATTTCTGTGTGTCATTACAAAGCAGTATTAACTCATTAATAGTCAAGGTAGACTCTTGATTGCAGGTTTTCTTGGTCTTTTAACTAAAAGTAACTGTTAGAGCAAAGTTCAGGTGTTAACTTTGTATTTAAATGTAAAACCAGCTTTTTGAAAGGAAAGAATATATGCGTATGAGCTGACAAAACAGAATCTGGTTATCTGTTTCTCAGCGCTGGTTCTAAGCAGTTTATTTTGAAGCTGATCTATTTTTAAACCTAATATTATAGTATTGGAAACTGCTACAAAGTCATTGTAGATAAATGACTTGCCAGTTCAGTTAAATTGATTGCATCTGGAAAGAGATCAGCATAATCTGAATTAATTAGAAAAGTAATAGCACATTCAGAGATACAAGATGCTTTTGCATTTGGTTCATTTGATAAGGCTGACACAAAACTACTGAAGGCAGACCAAGGAGAAAGGATAAAGCATTTAATCAGGATTAAAATGAGTACCGTATTGCCTGATATCCACGCAGATCTGGTCCCCTGGAACCGTCACATTTGTCTGAAGAGATTTGATGACTTCGCAAGTTGACCATATGTTGTAGAACATAAAGACAGGCACAGCAGAGAAGCCAAAGACCCCAAGCCAGGCCACTCCAAGCACATAGGTGAGGAAAACAAACTGGGCAGAGAAAACACAAGCACTTCACATTTATTCTTTGAAAAGAGTACTTGAATTTTCCTTAAAAGTGCTTCAAAATAATCTTTAAGCATACGTTCAGAAATCAAGTAATACAACATTTGATTTCCAAGCACAAGTAAAATCAGTATTCTCCATGCCTACAAATACTTTGGTACCGGTAAGTGCTACTGAGAAAGTAATTCAGACATTTCCTTTTTCATCAGCCTGCTTGAGTAAAGAGCTTGACCTCCTGAAAGAGCAGGCCATTAATTTCTCAAGATTCTCAGCTAAGCAGGGATGCTGGTTGTAGGCTAAAACCAATAAGATTCCAACAAAAAAATCAATTTAAGGCATTTTTTTAATTAACTGTAACCTACCAGCACTTCTACGCAACTTGCAAGTCAAAACAATAGAGTGAATCGATGTTCACAGAGCTCTCCCGTACTCCCCAATTTATTGAAATCAATTCTGAATGTAACATTTGAGAATTCCTGTTTTTGAAAACACACCACGACTGTCGCAGCAGATCAGAAAGCTTCAAATTGATCTAATACACATTGCCAAGAAGAAAATGAGTTACTTCACCTTTGAGAATCGTGGATTTTCCATTGAAATTTGCTGGTTGAGGGTGGCTCTTTTTAAAAAAAGAATAATTCGTGTATTTTCTTTGGTAAGATGATAAGGTACGGCGCTCCTTGCTTTGGAAGTCCCCAGCTCCCCCCTCCCGCAGAGGGGCCGAGCACCCCGGCCAACGCTGCGGCAGAGGCGGGGCAGTCGCTTAGGCCTTGCGGTCACAACGAAGGCGGTGTGGGTGGGGATGAGGGGTGCTTGCAAAACCAGGGCCCGTACAAACCCAGTTAGCCTTGAATTTATACGCAGCTGAACTGAAACACCCTATTTCGTATCGGATAGCGCCAGACGCTAGACCTGCATGTTTTATGCGAGAATTGAGAATTCTCTCTCTGGAGTTTGGCAAGGACCAAGTGGACCAGTATAAAGGATTTCTGTAGATACACTATACATAAAACGTGGGTTTGCATACGTGCATGTGGAAGCGTGCACAAGAGGATGTACACGAAGCCTTTAACCCCTAAAATAGCCAGGAAAAACCACACTCTCACACTTAATGCGGTAACTGTGGGAAATGGCCGTTGCGCGTTACCACAGCCAACACAAATAATCTGGGAAAGCTGGAAGTCTGCCTTCCGTAATAACCTTACGCAAGATGGGAGGGACTGCCCTTCAGGGCCTCTCTCGGTAATGTAACAGAGGACAAAGTAGAGCAGCTCTTAATCAAAGTGGCAAAAAGCATCACTGCACGTCCAAAAGCTTGCTGTCCGCACCCAGCTGCAGCCACACGTCTGGTAAGATATCGCATCTCCTCGTGAACCTTGTTCTAATTCCGGTGTTTTAAGCAGCTCTACCACTACACAGCGGCATACAGGCATTTTCACGCCATGACTGTCACCACGAAACGCAGAGGTGGCTTACCAGAGCTCCAAGCCACTACTCAGCTGCTAAATTCTCTCCTTCATTGTGCGGACAAACAAATAGGGGCAAACATGAAAACACATTTTTCTGTCATATTTCCACGTGTCACACTGGTATTTGTATAAGCAGCTGACAATCATGTGCCTGCAGCTACTCAACTGCACAAGCAATTGTCTGCACTAATGAGATGCAGGTATGTGTATGTTTCTACTGTATTTTGGATCGTTGGAAAACACTGCTTTAGAGCTAATTTTGCTCCTGAGTGAAGATCATACTTGCTAAAAAAGAGCAAGCGAATAGCTGCTTAACTGAAAGCAATTGGATGTCTTATTTTTATTAGTTCTTGAAAAATTCAGAAAGTATACAACAGCACGGTGGAAAATTGTTAACCCTCTTGAAAATAAACATGCATCTCTTTTGTATTTAACCAGCGGAAAGTACATATTTTTTAAGTACAGGATATAGATTGTATATTAAAATGCAACAATCACATCAAAAGCCTCTTCTCTTTTCACCCACACTTTCCCGTGGGCGATCTGTCATACTGCTTAGCTTCCTCCACAACTACGAGCTTTGAATTCAGATTTTCAGAAATAGCTTTGAAATGCTGTCTCAGAAACACAGTTGTGTTTCTGTTCTTGCAGAGTGCGCCCTAGGGGGCAACGTGGGTGAGAATCTCAAGTTTTATTTTTAGTTAAACTTTGTTTAAAATTTTGTTCTAATACAGAAGCACACTGAAGGGAAGACGGCTTGTAAGTTGAAGGCTTTAAGTGTTCCAGCTTTGTGAAAAAGCCTCACTATTGTATCTGTATGCCTTCTGCCATCTGCAAAAGCATGACAGCAGTACTTGATTTAAGTGCAAAGATGTCGCGAAGCTTCATTCATTGCTGTCTGGAGGATCCAGACACCCTCAAACAGAATTGACTATGGAAGTCAGGGGCATTACAGTTTGTTATTTAAATAGCTCTGCAACCCACAGCCATTTTACAGTCTGCCTTTAACCATCACTAGTGCGCTCCACGTTTAAAAGCACGAATTTCATTTTGTCTCACACAGTGTCATAAAATCAGCCGTCTCCATCACCTTAGTTCAGACCAGTGGGCTCAGCTTTGTGACAGGGGAGGCGTGACGGCAGCACGCTGACAGCCCATCTGCAGAATTCAGATTTGACCAAGCACCCTTAAAGTTTAAAGAAGGACCAGCAACAGGGATTGACTCTGACCAGTTAAACAAAGGCGGCAGCAACATATCGTTGTTCAAGAACACCGGAGTCAAAGCGAGCCCAACAGGTTTCAGCAAGCAAAGACTACTGCTGCTCCCGCTCCTGATGCTACTCACCATTCCACTGATGCAGCGGCCACAGGCTGTTGTTTTGAACTCTCCATGCAGCTCTTTCACAGCACTTGTTGTATAAAAACCTTCTGCCAAAAGGATTATTCCATATAAGAAGAAAAATGATGCGATGCCATAAATTACGTACTGCATTAGCTGTATTCTAAAATGGAAAAGAAAAAAGATATAATTAGATTTCAGTCCTGTAGAAACAAAGTCGGTCCTCCAAATCATAATAGGTATGAGGTAACTCCTTTCTAGAAACACCTTGGCTCCTTAATGCCCTTTAGCCAGCCGGCTGCAGGAGAGCGCTGGCGCGCCCATCCCGCTTCTGCAGGCACACAATACTGATGTGCATGTGGTCTTGCATCTGCTCCAGCGTCCCCTGCTTGTGCTGCAGTTCTTACCCCGGCTGGTATTTGTCACCACCTTGAAGCCGCAATTTCACGTCTCCACTATGGAGATTTTTTTTTTTTTTTCCTGTTAGATTCTGACACTGAACTCAGGGAATGGCTGGCAGGGACAACACAGGGGTTTGAAATGGCGAAGGCTGGAGCTGAGCTACCGGCTGAACTACCAGGCTCCATGGTGACTCC